ACAATCTCCACCTCCCAGGTTCAAGCCATTCTCCCTGCCTCAGCCTACCGAGTAGCTGGGACAGGCACCTGCCACCACGCCCGGCTATTGTTTGTTTTTTTTCAGTAGAGACAGGGTTTCGCCATGTTGTCCAGGCTGCTTTTGAACTCCTGACCTCAGGTGATCCACCTGCCTTGGCCCCACAAAGTGCTATGATTACAGGTGTGAGCCATTTGCCCAGCCTCACCAATTATTCTTGAAAAAATATTTCAGAAGTGAATACTTATAATTTTAATTCTTATAATTTCAATGCTTCATAAAAATGAGTTTTCAAAGAATGATGAAATAGCTGCTGTCTGCCAGTATAAAACTTCTTTACCTTTTATGTACTTTTAGTTCTCCACAAATAGCTGACATAGCTAAAAGGCCTTAGGATGATACTTACGTGAACTCTTCTGTAAATCAAGTCTTTTCTCTAGCCTTGCTTACTGAAAGGGTTATTAAGATTAAATAAGATGATATATGTAAAGTAATTACTACAGCTTCTGATACACGGTACAAAATCATGCTCAGTAGCTGAATTTTCACCCTAAAATTCTTTTTTTTTTTTTTTTTTTTTGGAGTCTCGCTCTGTCGCCCAGGCTGGAGTGCAGTGGCCGGATCTCAGCTCACTGCAAGCTCCGCCTCCCGGGTTCACGGCATTCTCCTGCCTCAGACTCCCGAGTAGCTGGGACTACAGGCAGCCGCCACCTCACCCGCCTAGTTTTTTGTATTAGTAGAGACGGGGTTTCACCATGTTAGCCAGGATGGTCTCGATCTCCTGACCTCGTTATCCACCCGTCTTGGCCTCCCAAAGTGCTGGGATTACAGGCTTGAGCCACCGCGCCCAGCCCTAAAATTCTTATATAAAAAAAGAAATCACACCTTCTGTATCATTCTCTGAACTTGTTTCGCTGAAACTTTTCCACCGTTCTTTTGCTCTTGAGAGGAAGATTTCATAAAGTTCTGGAGGGAATGGGGAGAACAAAAATTTATGAATAATAGGAAAGAAATATATTTGCAAATTTTTAATTTTCACTCTTCACCTATTACAGGTCAGGTCTCTCTGATGTAGCAAGCATCAAAAAAGTGGCAAATCTAAGTACTTGATTCTACCAAAGCTATTCAGAAAGAAAGCAAATTACTGCAGAGCAATCATCAAGTAGTTACAATATAGAATGTACCTATGAGGCAGAAAGAGATGCTTCTGCTAAGAAGTATCATTGTGGAACAGCAGAAAAAATGGTTTTTGAGGTCAATCAGACCTAGATTCAAATTCTAGCTCTGCCATTTACTATCTGAGGGACAAGAAAGTTACTTAGCTACCCTGGAACTCAGCTTTCTTCATCTGTAAACCAGAGAAAAACAACACCTACTCATAGGGTTACTGATGACTAAATAAGATAATATATGTAAAGCTCCTGGAACCTCCTAGCACTTCAATAGATGCTAGATCTTGCTTTCTATCACTCCTGAAACTGGTTTCTCCATCATGATATTGCTATCTAAAGATACTTATGTTTCACATAGACTTGGTGTTTGTCACCAACAAACAAAATCTCTACCCCTATCTTTTTAATTTAAGTGCCTAGTCACTGCACTCCCATATGCAGGATCTCATAAAAACTTCAGGACAGGAAAGATTTTTAAAATTTTCTCAATTTCCAAATTTTATTTGTCTCTATTTTGTAACTAACTATTGCAGATATTTGAAACTACATAAAAATAGGACATTTCAGGGACAGAAGAATAGAAAAAATATGTCTTGCCCAAACACCAAAGTTTATATATTGTCCAAAATAACTTTTCTTGCTTCAATTAATTCTTTTTAAAATTTTATTCCTTTTTAAAGGTAATACATGAACATGGTTTTTAAAAATTTCAAAACGGAGGCCAGGCACGGTGGCTCATGTCTATAATCCCAGCACTTTGGGAGGCCGAGGCAGGTGGATCACCTGAGGTCAGGAGTTTGAGATCAGTCTGGCCAACACGGTGAAACCCTGTCTCTACTAAAAATACAAAAAATTTAGCTGGGCATGGTGGTGCGTGCCTGTAATCCCAGATACTTGGGAGGCTGAGGCAGGAGAATCGCTTGAGCCTGGGATGTGGAGGTTGCGGTGAGCAGAGATCGCACCACTGCACTCCAGCCTGGGCAACAGAGCGAGACTCCATCTCAAAAAAAAAAAAAAATTCAAAAAGTACAAAACAGTATAGAGAGAAAAATAAATTTCCTTTCCTCAGATGCAAGTGTGGTTATCAGAGCTCTAATTCTTCCAAGAATGAAAATATGCTCGCACAAGTATATACATATATATATAATCCTTTTTTAAAAAATTGAAGTGGCAACGTATTTCATGCACCGATCTGTATCTTACTTTGTTATATTAGAGGTTGTTCCACATTAGTAGATACAGATCTGCTGTTGTTTCTTTTAAACAACTGCATAATTTTCCAAAGTAATGACTATACCATAACAAGTATTCTTATATTGCCAAGAAGCGTATCATTATCAAATACCTGACTAGATATATTTCAAACACACTCTTACTATTCTAATCTTTTCTCCCTTCTATTTACTTTTCATTACTACTAATAGTTTGGAAAGAAAAAAATTTTTAAAAACTTAATATTCCCATTATTATTTTTTGAGACAGGATCTTGCTCTGTTGCCCAGACTGGAGTGCAGTGCCGTGACCTCAGCTCATTGCAACCTCCTCCTCCTGGGTTCAAGCAATTCTCAGCCTCCTGAATAGCTGGGATTACTGGCATGTGCCACCACATCCAGTTAATTTTTTGTATTTTCAGTAGAGGCAGGGTTTCACCATGTTGGCCAGGCTGGTCTTGAACTCCTGGCCTCATGTGATCCACCTGCCTCAGCCTCCCAAAGTGCTAGGATTACAGGCATGAGTCACCACACCAGGCAAAATTCCTATTATTTATGCCTGGCTCCATCAATGACTACATAGAAGAGATGAATATGTTAAAATTTATACATATAAATTTGGGGGTTATTAGGTATAAAATTGTAAGTTTTAAAAAAAATTTCAAACTGGTTCTAAGACAGTCAGCTTCAATATTCTACCCAAATTTTAAAACTGTCCAAAAAACAGGGGGCTCACCAGACAAACCCATCAGTTTTAGAAGTCATAAAATTGATCCAATAATAAACATGTGGTAATGCGTTTCAAAACATCAAAGGACATCTCTCCAGTAAGATTTACAGTTAAGAAGACCTGCATCTCAGTTCAATTTGATGCTTGGGTCCTCATGTCACACTTACTTTGCTTTGAATCTGCAAAGGGAGAATTTGAAGCAGGCTTAAAGATGATACTTTGGACTTGAACAGAGAATACTTTGATTTCAGTGTATATTTTGCTTTCTGATTTAGTGACAATTATGATATTATCCATACTCTCAGTAAAATGCACTTTCACTATCATCTTATATTATCACAAATAACTGTTAGAACAATCCTTTCATATTCTTACCCCTATTTTACAGAGGAAGAAAAACTAAGACTTCTAGATGTTAAGTAATATGCCCGAGGTCACAAACCTAATATATATGGTGGAACCAAGATTTGAACCATATCTGACTGACTTTAGAGCCCTCACTCTTAGCTACTATTCTCTAATGAGTATAAACTTCATGACTAAAACAAGTCAAATTACTAAAGCCATTCAAAAGTAAACAATTAACAAAAATAAATGTACTTCAATCCAATTATAGCATCTTTTCCACACTAATAAAAAAGAAGAGAATAAACACACATTCCGTTCTTGAATACATAAATATTTAGTGAAGAAAATCTAAAATTACGTTGGAAATAAATGACTCAGTTATGTTACAAAACTATAAATTTCAAGCTAAAAAAGAACCTTTTGATTATAGTATCACAAAACATTAACACCAATTTAACCAATATTTTAATGTCTAAGTTATCAAGATAACTCAGATTCTAAAGCCAAAGTTATCAATAAAAACTGCAAACAAAACTTCATATAACCATCAATACCTCATTATCTGTTTGCAAAATTGATTCTTAAGACTTTAAACAATTACAGTATGTTAAAAAATTCTTATTATGGATTTAGAAAATCTAACTGAAAGTTCTGACTATAAGTTAAAAACATTCAATCTGTTTCAAACTCAGAAAGAAAAGGTAATCTCAGTTTATATTTGGAGAGAACAGTTAAGTCATATAAACTCTAATTTTTTCTAAGTTAAATAAAAACTTAATTCTTCCTTTAAATTCTATTTTAAAAGTTTTTAAGTTCTTTGAAATTAACATGTTGGCTGGGCACGGTGGCTCACGCCTGTAATCCCAGCACTTTGGGAGGCCAAGGCGGGCGGATCACCTGAGGTCAAGAGTTCGAGACCAGTGTGGCCAACACAGTGAAACCCCGTCTCTACTAAAAATACAAAAATTAGTCAGTGTGGTGGCAGGCGCCTGTAATCTCAGCTACTTGGGAGGCTGAGGCAGGGAGAACTGCTTGAACCCAGGAGGTGGGGGTTGCAGTGAGCTGAGAGAGCACCACTGCACTCCAGCCTCCGCAACAGAGCAAGACTCCATATCAAAATAAATAAATAAATAAATAAATAAATAAATATGTTTATTACAGGAGACTTGTGAACATCAAATTTTAAAATCATACATAATCATAATATCCAAAGTTGGCACTGCTTTTCAGACAAAGGGTAAACATTTAAATTTTTGTTATAATTCTGTCCAATTATATATAATGCTGATTGCAGAAAAGCTTTTGCATCCAATCCTGATTATTTCCTTAGAGTAAATTCTTAGAACTGAAATAAACAGTCAAAGTTTATTTGTTTGAGACCTTTGGTAAATATTTATGAATGATTTTCAGTCATCCCTGTATGGGTAATTCTCATTCATTTTAATCTCTTTTGAGGGATGAAAAACAGTACTTGGATGTTAACATATATGTCTTTTTTATAGAATGGCAGGAAAAAATGTATGTCTTTGATTTGGTTATCACAAGGAAAATGCTTAAATAAATTATAGTACATCCAAATTGTGGAATACAGTGTAGCTACAGTACATATGAGGCAGACTTGTATGCACTAACATGGAAGATGTTTAAGATAGATTACAGGGTGAAGAAAGCAAGCCACAGAATAACCTTATGGCATAAATTGTGGGGGAAAAATAAAAGAAAAGTTTTAAAATTGATCATATGGGCCGGGCGCGGTGACTCACGCCTGCAATCCCAACACTTTGGGAGGCCGAGGCGGGCAGATTACGAGGTCAGGAAATCAAGACCATCCTGGCTAACACGGTGAAACACTGTCTCTACTAAAAATACAAAAAATTAGCTGGGGGTGGTGGCGGGCGCCTTTAGTCCCAGCTACTCGGGAGGCTGAGGCAGGAGAATGGCGCGAGCCCGGGAGGCAGAGCCTGCAGTGAGCCAAGATCACGCCACTACACTCCAGTCTGGACGACAGAGGGAAACTCCATCTCAAAAAAAAAAAAAATTGATCATATGTAGATGCACACTTTATGTACATAGAAAAAAGACCAGAAAGAATATACACCAAATTGCTAACAGTGTTTACAGTAGGATCAAGAATAGCAATTTAGGTGGAAGAGCAGACACTTGTACTTTCTCATTACTTTAATTTTTTTCAATAAATATAAAAAGAAAAATTTTAGAAGTAACAGTGACAATATATTATTTCTAGTATTATACTAAAGTCCTTAAGTCTTTATGTGGTGCCATTGTCTAGCATTAACATTATCATTTAGGCCAATTTAGCACATTTTATTATTAACTATTTATTTATTTATTTATTTAGAGACAGGGTCTCACTCTGTCACCCAGGTTGGAATGCAGTGACGCAATCACAGCTGCTCACTGCACCTCCTGGGCTCAAGTGATCCTCCCACCTCAGCCTCTCAAGTGGTGTGACCACACATGTGGGCTGCCTGGCTAATTTTGGGATTTTTTTATAGAGACAGGGTCTCACTATGTTGCCCAAGATGGTCTCAAACTCCTAGGCTCAAGAGATCCATCTGCCACAGCTTCCAGAAGTGCTGGGATTACAGGCACGAGCCACCATGCCTGGTCTATAAAGTATTTTACTTTCTTCTATTTGATATTATTCTAATTTTGTCTAATTTAAAAAATTTATTTATTTATTCTATTTTATTTTTGAGATGGAGTTTCACTCTTGTTGCCCAGGCTGGAGTGCAATGGTGCAATCTCGGCTCACTGCAACCTTCGCCTCCCGGGTTCTAGCAATTCTCCTGCCTCAGCCTCCCGAGTAGCTGGGATTACAGACATGCGCCACCACATCGGGCTAATTTTATATTTTTAGTAGAGATGGGGTTTATCCATGTTGGCCAGGCTGGTCTCGAATTCCCGACCTCAGGTGACCCGCCCGCTTTGGCCTCCCAAAGTGCTGAGATTACAGGGGTGAGCCACCATTCCCGGCCAAATTATTTATTTATTAATTTAGAGACAGAGTCATGCTCTGTAGCCCAGGTTGGAGTGCTGCAGCAAAATCATAGTTCACTGTAACCTTAAACTCCTGGGCTTAAGCAATCTTCCCATCTAAACCTCCCAAGTAGCTGGGACTACAGGCATGAGCCACCACGTCCAGCTTAATTTTTAAAAAATTCATCAAAACTACTCTGCAAGCCAGGCACAGTGGCACACATCTGTAACCCAGCACTTTGGGAGGTTGAGGCGAGTGGATCACTTGAGGTCAGGAGTTTGAGACCAGCCTGGCCAGCATGGCAAAACCCCATCTCTACTAAAAATACAAAAAATTAACCGGATGTGTTGGTACACACCTGTAGTCCCAGCTACTCAGGAGGCTGAGGCAAGAGGATCGCTTGAACCCAGGAGGTGGAGGTTACAGTGAGCCCAGATTGCGCCACTGCACTCCAGC